ATATATATATATATCTATATATATATATATATATAGATTTTCTAAACTGATCGTTAATGTTATTTTCCAGATAACCACGACATCATCTCGATGAAGCTCTACCAGCTGATGGTGGAACACACCCCCGAGGAGGAGAACCTGGACTGGACCAAGATCGAGCCCAGCGTCAGCCTCCTCAAGTCCCCTAAAGGTAGATTCAAGTTCCCCGATTTTCTCTCTCTGACAGCAAAATACAGAGGTGAAAACATTGTAAATATAGCGTACTCTGAAACAGATGTTGGTATTTGTAGGTGTCTAACATACCACCACAGCAGTACATTACTTTGCTGGTGCTGCTGTCTGTAGAAACATCTGCACTATCCCTTTAAAACGCAGCGCCTCAACCAGGAAACAATAATAGAAGTTAGTTAAAGAAACAACAAGGAGGAATCTTAGTTCATGTTGGTACTAGGTTTTATTATCATGTTTCTGCTCATTACACTCTTTTAAAAACACGTTTCTGGGACTTATTTAAAATAAGAAGATGAGCAGCATTTCTGAATTGAACATGAAAATGAACACGGACTCTTCTTTTTTTTCCTTCGTAGACAACATCGACGATCCCACCGGAAACTTCCGCGGCGCACCGCTCACCGGCTGGAAGGTCTTCCTGCTTCTGCTGTGCGCTCTGCTGGGGATCGTGGTGTGCGCCGTGGTGGGAGCCGTGGTTTTCCAGAAGAGACAGGAGAGGAACAAGAGGTTCTACTAGAGGAGAACCTCATCCAGAGAGGTGTTTGTCGTGGAACGAACTGTTTCCAGACGACGGCACATTCAATGTGAATTCTTTCCTAAAGATTGTACAAAATGTTTATATCTTTTGAAGCACTGCGTTTTGGAGTGAGATGTGGTAACTTGTGACGTCGGTGAGAAGGTGCAAAGAACTAGTGGCGCCCGTCATGATGCTGTCTTTGTCCTCCATGTTTTCTTTAGTTCCAGGGTTAGAGTATAGACCTGCTGTCCTAAACAAACTTCAAAGAGTTTCTATTGGTTCCTCTGCTGCAGACGTGACGCTACAAAATGGTGAATTAGGCTGTTTTACCTTCGTTGAAGGAAAGTAGCTTCATACACAACATCGGATAAAAACATCGTGGGAACAGGAAACGTCCACATTAACGTCTGAAGCGTTGAGCTGGAGGCCTTATTGAGTGACTACACGTGAAGCACAACTTCTTCCTGTTGCGTCTTCAGGTCTGGTTGTCGGTTACGTGATTGGCTAACGTAGCGTTTCTCCAAAAAATTATGATAGAACTTTGCGTTGCAGGCCGCCCTGTTTTTTGGGGGTTTGCGTCCCCTCTGGTCTCCATCGCCGCCTCCCAAACACGTTTGTTTATTTCCTTTTCTGTGTTACCGTCGCTCTCATTTTGACATTTAAAAAAAAAAATACAATTTGGTCTGTTAGCGACTTTAAAATGACAGAATGGATTCAAGTTGCTGCTCTCCGTGTAAGACATTCCCCATAGAACAGAATGAATGCTTTGGCTCTGTAGGATTTTAAATGATGGAAACGGTATTCTCATGAATACGTACAGCTGTGTTTCTCATTGAACCACCTGAGTCACACGTCAGCACTATGATGTGTGTGTGTGTGTGTGTGTGTGTGTGTGTGTATATATATATATATACATACACACACACACACACACACACACACACACACACACACACAGACAGAGAGCAGGATGAGGCCACTCTAAAGGTTCAGTGCACGCGTGGATGCATCTTGAAAACTGGACACGCTGAATTATTTGATGCTTCTTTATTTCTTTTCTCTTTGGGGTCTTTTGAGCAGTGTTTTTTTTATCCAGAATATGCCTTTGTTGTTTTTCTAAGTGTGTTTGGGTTGAATTAACTTCTTCAGGATAATGAATATTAGAATAAAACAAGTGACTGATGCTTGCAGATATCGCTGGTGATGAAGCTTAAAGGAACAGGAGTTGTTGAACCCTGAAGACACATTTGATCAGTTTCTTTTAATGTCATGTTTAGTTATTTTATTTCCATAATGTTCCTGTTTGGTTCAGAAATGCCAAAAGTAAATTTTAAGGATTTGATGGCACACTTGTACTTTTCATTGTTGATGAAATGCAGCGTACTCTTTTAGCTTGAGTCAGCGTTCTTCAGGCCGTTCTGTATTTGTTTTCTGCCACATCGGTTGTTTTTGGTGATGGGTCTTAAAACAGCTCGTCTCAGCAGAAATAATGTATTCAAATAAATGAAGAAACCATTGGAATGTGAATTGTTTTCATTTTATCAGAAGTGGATTATTGAAGTATTATCAGGTAAAAATACCTCGGTGACAAAAGCAAAAGTCAGGATTATGAGTGCCCCCTTTTTAAAGTGCTACAACTAATACATACATGTTATATTTATGGGTTTTATTATATCACGTAAACAGTATTCTGATGTAGCTGTTGGTTTTAATCAAAAATAGTCATATTTCATAAGATCGCATGACGTCTGCACATAGCTGTCAGATAAATATCTTGCAGTAAAGAAAACAAACTGTTTTCCTCTGAAATGTATTGCAGTATAAATATACAGCATAGTGAAAATACTACAGTAAGTATTAATTGACATTAGTTGAACAATGTTTATTTCTTTACTTTCAACCACCGGTGAAAACAAATACATAACAACCCACTCTAGTAGCTAACATCAGATGAAACTGTATATAAATTAGTGCTGGGCAAGTTATCGCGTTAACGCATTCATTAATTAACGCCGACAATTATTTTATCGTGCGTTAACGCATTTTTTAAATTTATTATTTATTTTTTATTTTGTTGAAAGACAAGAGACAATACATAGACATAACAAGAGGATGACAAGAACAGTGGGATAAAAGCCAGCAAACATCCTATAGTCAGTTGTGTGTATGTGTGAACGTGTGTGTGTATATCCTTGAGCCTTTTGAGATGGGAAAAAATAATAATAATAATAAAAAAGTATTTTTTATTTATTATAATTGTAACAGACTCTCTCATGTTTATCGTTTTGTATTGGAGATATGTAGAGGCTGAAATCTTCCCCACAGAGAGAAGGCCGGAGAGCACGCTCCACTGTTGTTCTACAGTAGAGTCGCTACTTAATAAATCTACCATAAACTGGTTTACAATTAAAAAGTATTTAATCCTACTGAAGCTAATACAATTACAGAATGAAGGACACTACTAACAGAATATATAATATATGATCCGCGCGGAAAAGCTATTCACTCGCGACTCAGCCTGGAAACACAGATGTTTCCAGGCTCAGAGCCGATAAGAAAGAGAGTGAATTCCTTTCCAGCACTTCCTCTTACAGTTTGAAATCCCCTCCCTTTTGTCCATCTTAATTCCTATTGGCTAATTTCGGTTGCCTCCTCCTGGCATCAGGCTTCCGAAAACCCTCGCGCGGGTACAACCTGCAAAAATGTCTGTCTAGAAGTCTGACTTTCCCTTGGCTATTCTTCACAGTTTAATACATTCAATGACTGTCTTTTATGGCTTAACACTCCTACGATAAACATTCTATATAAAGATAAGGATTTGCAACTTTTGGCAAAAGCTTCACAAGTTTCACAAGCATAGATATAAAGGTGCTACTAAGATACACTTCTAACTACAAATCACTTCTAACTACAAATTCTAAAACACTCCTACAATTATGAATCTTCTAATTATGTAATCCAAAACACTTCTAATTATGATTTCTTAATTATGAATCATTAAACACTTCTATTATAATTTCTTAAAACAGTTCTAAACCCAAATTTCCTACAGATATGATGTCCCTTCAGGGTTGCCGTAGAGAAAAGGCGACTTCCGCTTCTGGCCGAGTGGGGGGGGCAGAAATAAAGAGAGAAGCTGCACCAGCTGTTGCTCTCCCTGGAGACTACTGGACATCGCTGCAGTAAAGTCAGCAGACACTCAGATCTCCGTGGTCAACTCAGCAGACACTTACACTTTAGTGCACCTATATGCTGAAATTCACGGTAAACGCATTTAAACGGCACAGATCGGGAGCGAGCGAAGGACTTTGAAAGTTAGCGGAAACATCCGAACACCCCCTGGTCATCAAAATCAAAAAAAGCTTTTGTGACTTTATTACCATGATATTTTTTCAAAATATAAATATAAATGTGGAATGAAATAGTTGATATTTTTAGGTTTTTCTGCATCAATTTCGATGTAAATGTTTTGAATGCAGACAGTACAACCTTCAAAATACAAGAGAAGATCTTCTTTAAAACCCAACGAATGCTGGCCAACAGAGTAGATTAAAACTTAAATGCATCAAGACTTTATGAGTCTGAAATAGAACTAAAGAAAACAAGCCAAGTCTGTTTCACAGCGCCGGGGTTACAACTGAGAGAATAAGACTCAAATATTGTCATTCATGTCATCAGAATACATCTGCAGCACATGAATGTAACAGAATACACACATGTAGTAGATGTTGTGCTCTACATGAGACAGTGATGTTATGAATCTGTTCATTTCATCATTC